TCTCTTTATGGAATACTGGCCATGTAATAATAATAAAGAATAATCACAATTGTTTATGAGGAGCAAGGATAAATCTCTACCAGCAAGCCCAGTCTATAGACACTGTCATACAATATCAATCCTACTTTACAGAGTAAATTCCTAACTCCTCCAAACATATCTCAGATCATTTTATGAGCCTCATCCTCAAGTCCAGCAATATAAAAATGGTAAACATAATGAAAAATGGCAAATTTAACAAGCAGAGATTCATATTATAGAATTACCTGCCCTTAATATTCCTTGTCTAGGGAATTCACAAGGTGACCAGCTAATCTCACATTTGCTTGTACATTTGTTATTAGTTATACCAAATGAAGATATAACCCATGCCAAAGCCTTGGGTTGACTATGCTTTAAACTGTTAATGGAGAAGGACTTCTACTATATTCACAATAATTTATTGTCATTTTACAGTAAAGCTAAGTTATAATTTAACATTCACTAAGGACCCACTAATTGACAAAACTGTGCAATTAGCTGTGTGTATGTGAGGAGGAGTATAAATATAGTTAAGATGATGTCTCTTCTTTAGAATATCATAATAAATTGTAAAGTATACATAATATCAATGGTCAGAAAATAATACCCTAACAGCAGGCTGTGATAATGATCACATAGGGGCCATAATGGAGATACATGCAAAGTACTATTGGAGCACAGAGGAAAGAATTAATTCTTACTTAAGTGGGAATAAAGGAAGGCTTTCAAGAAGACAATGAGCTCGGTGCTTTGTGACCGTCTGGAGGGGTGGGATAGGGAGGGTGGGAGGGAGGGAGACGCAAGAGGGAAGAGATATGGGAACATATGTGTATGTATAACTGATTCACTTTGCTATAAAGCAGAAACTAACACACCATTGTAAAGCAATTATACCCCAATAAAGATGTTAAAAAAAAAAAAAAGAAGACAATGAATATGAGCTGAATCTTTAGGATTGGTTGAACTTTGACAGGCTGATGATGGGATGAGTGGCCGGTATGGTGGGGGTGGGAGATGGTGGGGGTGGGAGATGGTGGGGTGGGGAATGGAGGAAATGAGTATATGTTGAGTAAAGGGAAAAAAGCCTCTAGACAATGTAAGTTTCTTCTTCCCCGACTGCCACACATTTTCAATTTTGTAGAGGAAAATGAAGAAAATCTATGGAGCCAGTTGTTTTGGTTTCTTCCATGTGATCACAGCATTGCTTATATGGATTGTCAAATAAGGGATGGGCTCATAAAAGGATATTAATGTGTCGTTTTTATTGAGCAAAGTAGCATTTCAGAAAAGGTGATTTCAGAGGCACATGACTTTCATTACAGCCTTCAGGGGCAATGTTTGATCACTGAAAACAGGCTGCTTTGTTCAGCTTTCTCTGATGTTTGGCCTCATCCTGAACACATATGCTCTGACTTGGAAAGAATCAGTCTGTAAAGATTTAATAGATTCTAGATTTGCATATTCAAAATGCATGTCTTGTGGTTAAAAATGAAATGAAAACTATTTTTATATCTATATTTACACAAACACATAGTTCAGACACATCTCAGCAAATTTTTAAAAGGCAATTAGGCATATTATATGTGCTTGTTCTGAGATTATGAAAGTTGGCTGTTTTTTAAATTAACCATTTTATATTTTCACTGAAAAAAATGTATTTTAAGAGACACTATAATGATGATAACGACGTACAAGAACTCTTCAAGTTTCAGGGGTTTGAGATTTGCTGTATGTTCTTGTCACCTATCAGGGACATAACTTTCTAGAGTTGGGTGTCACTGACCTCTCTCTTTATTAAAATGAATTAATAGCTTTCTTGCTTAGAGAAAATTGGAAGTCACAAAGAATTAAAGATAAATGTTAAAGATTAACATTTCCATGAGGCTCTTTTCCTTACATGACTGAAAAAAGTGGTTTTCTTTTTTCAAAGCGAGAGGGATGATTAGAAAGAGACCTGAGGTGTCAAAAGCCTTTTGTGTGGTGACTAAAACTCACAGAATTTTCTCTTAGAATTCTCTGGCTTCTGTCCCCTGTGAATTGATATGTAATCTCACATAAACTCATCTTTTAATTTTGAATTCCAATGGAACCTTTGAAAGAAAGATGGCATTCCAAGTGAGTCAGTTTGCTATACATTACATCTGCAATTAGACATTTGTTGTGTTGAAATTAAGCCAAACAGACTTCCACTGAAACAGGATAGGTCCAATTACGTTCTATTTCGTGTGACACAGAAAAATCTTACCATCTCACTTTGCTGTTTAAAATCCTTCCCTTTCCCTGTCCTTACTTACAACATCCTCCATCTCAATGACACTGAGTGTGTCCTCTACCTGACATGTCCTTCTCTCTCTTGGTAAGTTTTGCAACAATCTCAGAACAGAGATTATTTCAGTTATACATTTGTTGTCTAGACCAGTGCTTTCCAAACCTTAATGTACTTATGAATCATCTGGGGGTCTTGTTAAAAATGCAGGTTCTGATTCAGCAGGTCTAGGGTCTGGCTGAGATCCTAACAAGCTCCCAGGTGATGCAGCAGGACACACTTTGGATAGCAAGCGCCTAGAAACATATGACCTCTCATTAAATTGGCATTAGTTCCTGGACATTGATAACTGAAAATGTAAATTCTCTGACTCTGAGGTTGCTTCAGACTTTGATTGGCTTTTTTGTTTATTGGTAATTTTATAAAGACACTGCACGATCCAGATTCCCTCTATTTCTCCAGTCTCCTTTCTTACCAGTTCCCATTTCTTACTTTATATTTGAGACATAACAAATTATGTGAAGTTTCCAGAATGTATCAGACTCTTTCGCATCTCACTGCCTTTTCAAATACTATATCCTCTGCCTGTCCTAACATTTTGTGATGCTTCCTTTAAAACTCAGCTCGGCTGTCATCTCCTCCACACATCTTTCCCTAATCTCTTTCCCATATAATTGCTTAATTAAATGCCTCCAATTTACTCCCACAATGCCCTGTATTTTCTATATTATAACTTTCTCATAATCTGCTTCAATTGTCTGCTTACTGTCTGTTCCCTTCAAAACAGTGCTTCTATGGGGAAGGCATATGCATTTTGTACTACTGCCAATTGCAATGTCTGACACATAGTAGGTATTCATTAAAGTTTGCTGAGTGAATGAAGAAGGGAGGTTGATGTGTTGGTAGTTATGCAATAATATAATGCAATATTTTTTTTCATGAAGCTTAAAATTGAATTGGGAGTAACAGAAACTAAAGTCATAAAAGGTTAAGTACAGGATGAGATAATACTGTAGAAGTAAAATGTTACTATGTGATTAACTTCCGAATGAGGATCATAGAAAATAATTATTCTGAGTTCACTGGAAGAAAATGTCACTGTGGATTTATTATTATTTTTTAATATACCAGTTTTTTCCATGAGGGATTTGAGATGGCTGACAACACAATGTATTGGAGTTAATAAAAAGTATGAACGCATGTGTAGTTAAGGCAATAGTATGAGAAAAGGAGGGAGTTTAGAAGTATACAAGGAGCTCATATACTAGCATGTCTGCAAAAATGATCCTCATTAAATAATAGACAGTAAGGTTGGTGTGCTAATTTTCATTTCCACTCTGCCTGGGAGGCTGACTTCTGTGGAGTCAGCAGCTCCATTGTCCTCTGGCTTCTGGCTGAATTGGGGCAATGGGGTGCCCTGGCAGATGATCCAATGGAGGAAAAAGAGTGAGATCAGGACATTTATGTTCTTGTGTTGCCTAGAACTGTCTGTGCCTGTGTGTAAATTGTCCCTTTATTAAAATCTCCTTAAATTGTTTTAATTTGCGTGTGCCCCCTGCTCTCTATAGAGACTCTGATAAAACCACAGAGCTGCTTAAAGCTAAATTGAATGCTGGGCTTAATAACTTTTATGATAACCATTAATGCTATAAAAATATTTCAGGTACTTGCTACATATCAGGCATGATTCTGTGAAGAGGTGTTTCAACAGAAGAATTCAGAAAACCAACCAACAAACCTAAAATCTTGTGCTCATATTATTTATATTTTAGTGTGGTAAAGAGGGTATAAATCATATTGGAAGCAAGGAAAAATTGATACGTTTCATATCCCACAGTTCTGCAATGTTTATTTACATCAGCCTCTAGTTTACTGCTTTATTGTAAAGCAATAATATCCCAGAGATGTAGTTTTGGGGTTGTTTCCTTTTTACTGGGGCTAGATTACCCAGAACTTTTGCTTCTCCTCTTTCCTGTTGCTAATCTTTCGGTTATTTCACTGCTCAGTGTTCCTCCGTCAGGAGATATAAAAGGGAAATAAATGGATGAAAAATTTAGCTTTGACATCTATGATAAAAGGTTTTTGAGGAAGGAGACTGAAATCCTGAACTAAAATGAAGCTTTTCAGTTTATCTGGGTTTGTCTGCCCCCTATTGCCATAAAGATGTTGAGAGTTGTTTCCAGCTTGTCAAAAACAAGAGATAAAATGGGCAAAATGTTATATTCATGATGATGAAGAGAACTAGGTCTTATAAATAGATATGGTGCTCTTAATATGAAGCCCTGGTGTACAAATGCTCTGTCTTTGGATGTTAGATTGTATTACAACCTTGTTTGCAGTACTTACTCAGATCATTGTTGACTCATGTGAGTTTAATTCTATGACCTGGCCAAAAAAAGATCATAAATCCCAGCAGGGGAAGACATGGTTGTAGCTTGACCTTGGAAATATGAGCTAAAGGTGCTGAGGACCATAAATTCAATTTACAATAATAACAAAAATAAGATTGTTTACACTTTGCCCAGTGGATGAAGTGAAAATCTAATATTTTTCCTGGTACATGCTGTATATTTTGCCAAGCTTGATTAAATTCCTGTTTAGCAGGTATCTGAGAGGAACTGAATAAAAACACTTCGTATGAGACTTTTGACTCCTAATTTGTTCTTCATTATTGAATTCTTTTTTTAAAAACTGTTTTTCTTTTTTTTTTCAGGTTCTATTTATGAAATGTTTGGAAATGAATGCTGTTTGTCAACAGGAGAAGTGATTAAAATTACTGGCCTCAAAATTAAGAAGATCATAGCTGAAATTTGTGAGCACATTGAAGGTTGTGAGGCTCCACAACCATTTGAACTGCCTATGAATTTTCCAGGTACACTATTTTGCAACCATTTCTCATTTGTAAAACTGTATTCTTAAATGTTATATACGTCTCTACAACTGAAAACAATGAAAAAGTGGTAGTTTTTGGTTTTTTTTTACTCTAAGGCAGTGGGTGAAAAAATCGGGATTCTTATAGTTTAGTGATTTTAGGGACTAATAGAAGGCAAATATTTTCTCCCCTTTTCAGTAAACATTGTTTACTTAGGACTTAATATTTTCTGATAACAAATATTTAGTGAGTTTAACTATATGCACCATTAGTTGTGCCAGATAGTGGGAATTAAGAAATTAAAGATATATTTTCATAAGTTATGTAGAAATAATTAATATTTCCTAAACATATTTACCCTCTTTATTCCTAGCTCCCTGGATCACTGCTAAACTTCACTGTCTGGCCTTACTGACAAGTTTGGCTGCTCTTCTTTAACTAGTTAACCTTCAAAAATTAGGTCAGGTATCAGGTCTCCTAGAAAACTTTTGCTGACTCTATAATCTAATCTAGATATCTCTGTGTTCCCGTAGTATCTTGGGCACCATAGCATGCACCTTATTGGGTAGTAATTAATGATTTTCTTATTTGTCTTATTCTTTAGACCAGGGTTGGCAGACTTTTTCTGTAAAGTACCAGATAGTAAATATTTTAGACTTTGCCTGCCAAATGGTCTCCATAACAACTACTCCACTCTGATGTTGTAACATGAAAGAAGCTACAGATAAACCAATATAAACCAATTGGTTTATAAACCAATGAGCACTACATAAACCAATGAGCACAGTTGTGGTTCAATAAAAATTTATTTACAAAAACAGGTGGCCAACAGAATTTGGCCTGTGAACTATAGTTTGCTGAACTCTGCTTGAGACTAAAACTCTTTGACAGATGAAATATGACATATGTGACTTTATTTCTATGAACAAGCACATTTTCTGGCACAGGGAACGTGCTCAATAATTTCCTGTTGGTTGAATAATTGTTTATCAATGAATGATTAGTGAAAGAGGACAATCTAGTAAGCTGTTACAGCGTAATGTAGTTTATGGTATAACTGAAGTATGCATGGGTTCTGTGAGAGTCTTGATAAGACGGATCTAACTCCAGTTGGTTATGCTTCAGCACATGGATTTTGGAATCATTATATTTGAATCCCAACTCTGTCACTTCTTAGTTAGGTAACCTTGCCAAATTATTTACCCTCTTCTCATGTAAAATGGGAATAATAATACTATCTCTTAGTGTTGTTGGGAGGATTAAATATTGAAATATATTTATATTGGTTAGAGTGATACTTGTCATATAACAAGGGCTATAAAAAAGTGTCAGCTTATATTACCATTATTAACCTTGTTATCATCATTGGTGGAGTCAGGGAAAGCTTTTCAGAGGATGTTATTCTTGAGCTGAGGTTTGGAAAATTAAAATAATTTAACTGTATGAGGAGAGGATTATTCCAAGTGCTCCAATATTTTTTCCCTTTCAACTGAAATCTTATTCCTTGTTTAATTCTAATTACTCCTCATTACCCCATCCTATATAGCAATAGACTCCCAGTTAGATTTTAAACTCAAAGAATCCAATATGTTTTTAAACCATCCTTCCTTATTTGTGAATTTTCCATTTCTTGGGGGGTAATGGTTTCTAATTTTATTTTATTGTGGTCAGAAGACATACTTTGTCTTTTGAGACTAGTTTTATGGCTTAACATATGGCCTATCCTGGAGAATGCTCTGTGTTCACTTAATAAGAATATATATTCTGCTGTTGTAATATAGAGTGTTCTACAGATGTCTGTTGGTTTATAGGATTGTTCAAGTATTCTATGTCCTTGTGGATCTTTTGTCTAGTTCTATCCCTTTTAGAAAGTGGAGTATTGAGGTTTCCAACTGTCATTGTTGAATTGTCTGTTTTTCTTTTCAATTCTGTCAGCTCTAGCTTCATGTATTTGGGGACTCTGATGTAAGGTTTATATGTGTTTATAATTGTTACCTCTTTTTGGTGGAGTTTCCCTTTTATCATTATATAATATTCTAAACAATTTTTGTTTTAAAATCTATTTTTTTTCTAATATTACTGTAGTCACTCCAGTTCTCTTTTGGTTACTATGTTCATGGTCTACCTTCTATTTTTTGCTTTCAAATAACTTGTGTCTTTGAATCTGAAGTATGAATCTACAAGTAAGTCTCTTGTAGACAGTATAGTTGGATGGGCTTTCTTTTTTTAATCCATTCTGCCAACCTCTGCCTTTTAATTATTTAATCCATTTATATTTAGTGTAATTATTGATAGTGTAAGATTTACATCTTCCATTTTGCTATTTGTTTTCCATATGTCTTAGGTCTTTTGTGTTTCTCTATTTGTCCATTTTTGCCTTCTTTTGTGTTAAATAGATATTTTCTAGTGTACAATTTTATTTCCCTTTTTTTAAAAAAAAATCTTTATTTTTTAGAGCTATTTTAGGTTCGTTAGCAAATTTGAGCAGAAGTTACAAAGACTTCCCATACACTATACTACCTGTCTCAAATTTGCACAGCTTCCTCAATATCAAAATACCACTGTCTTTTCATGGTGTGTAACATATCTTTTTAGCACTGAATAATAGTTCATTGTCTGTATATACCACCGTTCATTTTGCTATTCACTTATTAAAGAACAACTTGGTTGCTTTCAAGTTTTGGCAATTATGAATAAAACTATGCAACTATGAATAAAATTATGCAGGTTTTTGTGTGAATATTAATTTTCAACTGATTTGGGTAAATACCAAGGAACATGATTGCTGGACCATATGGTAAGGATATGTTTAGTTTAAAGAAACTGCCAAACTGTCTTCCAAAATGGCTGCATCATTTTGCATTCCTACTAGCAATGAATGAGAATTCCTGGTGCTTTGCATCTTCATCAGCATTTTATGCTGTCAGTGTTTTGGATTTTGGCCCTTCTAATATGCATACAATTATGGTATCTTATTGTTTTAATTTTCAATTCCTTAATGACGTATAATGTTGAATATATTTTCATACGCTTATTTGCCATGCCATATTCTTTGGTGAGGCATCTGTTCATGTCTTTTGCCCACTTTCTAATAAGGTTATTTGTTTTATTATTGTTGGCTTTTAAGAGATCTTTGTGTATTCTGGATACAAGTCCTTTATCAGGTATGTCCTTTGCAAATATTTTCTCTCAGACTGTGGCTTGTCTTCTCATTCTCTTGACAATATTATTCACTGAGCAATTTTTTAAAAATGAAATCCAGCTTATCAATTATTTCTCTCTTTTTTTTTTTTCTTTTGTGGTACGTGGGCCTCTCACTGTTGTGGCCTCTCCCGTTGTGGAGCATAGGCTCCGGACGTGCAGTCTCAGTGGCCATGGCTCATGGGCCCAGCCGCTCCGTGATGTGTGGGGTCTTCCCAGACTGGGGCACGAACCCATGTCCCCTGCATTGGCAGGCGGACTCTCAACCACTGCGCCACCAGGTATTTTTCTCATAGATTTTGCCTGTGGTGTCATGTCTAAAAATTCATCATCAAACCTAAGGTCATCTAGATTTTCTGCTATATTATCTTTTAAGAGTTTTATAGTTTTGCATTTTACACTTAACTCTGTGATATATTCTGAGTTGATTTGTGTGAAAGTTGTTAAGACCTGGGTCTAGATTCTTTTTTTTTTTTTTTTTAACATGTGAATGTCCAATTGTTCTAGCACCATTTGTTGAAAATACAATTTTTCCTCCATTGTATTGCCTTTGCTCCTTTGTCAAAGATCAGTTGACCATATTTAGATGGGTTTATTTCTGGGCTATCCATTCTGTTTCACTGATTTGTTTATTCTTTCACCAGTACCACACTGTGTTGATTACTGCAGCTTTATAGTAAGTCTTGTCAGTTCTCTGGCTTTGTTCTCCTTTAATGTTGCTATCCTAGGTTTCTTGCCACTCCATATAAACCACAGAATCAGTTTGTCAGTATCCATGGAATAACTTACTGGGATTTTGACTGGCATTGCATTAAAGCTATAGATGCAGCTGCGAAGAACTGACATCTAAACAATATTATATATTCCTATTCATGAAGATAGAATATATCTCCATTTGTTTAGTTCTTTTATTTCTTTCATCAGAGTTTTGTAGTCTTCTTCATATAGATCTTGTACATATTTTGTCAGATTTATACCTATTTCATTGTTTTGGTGCTAATGTAAATGGTTTTGTGCCTTTAATTTCAAATTCCACTTGTTCATTGCTAGTACAAATAAAAGTGATTGACTTTTGTATATTAACGTATCTTGAAACCTTGCTATACTTATTAGTTCTAGGAGATTTTATTGATCCTTTCAGATTATAATTGAATACATTGTTGATATTATTATTATGAGCAACAAAATTTGTAAGATTAACTAAGAATAAGAAAATAAAAGTTTTTACTTTATCCTCACTCATTCCTTTTCTGCTGCTTTCCCTTTATGTAATTCCAAGTTTCTGACATATAATTTTTCTTCTCTCTGAAGAACTTTTTTTAACGTTTCTTGCAAAGCAGGTCTATTGGAACAAATTCCCTCAGTCGTTGTTTGTCTGAGAAAGTCTATAATTCTCCTTCACTTTTAAAGGATATTAGGATTCAGATTTCTTGGTTGGTGGGGTTTTTTTTCCTCAACGCTTTAAATATTTCACCCTCCTCTCTTCTTGCTTGCATGGTTTCTGAGGAGTAGTTAAATGCAATTCTTACCTCTGTTCTTCTACAAGTATGATAGGCAAGATTTTTTTCCTCTGACCTTTTTCAAGATTTTTTCATTACTTTTGATTTTCTGCAGTTTGAATATGATGTTCTTATGAAGTTTTTTTTAGAATCCTGTTTAGTGTTCTCTGAGCTTCCTGGATCTGTGGTTTGGTGTCTGACATTAATTTGGGGGAAATTATCAATCATTATTTCTTCAATTATTTCTTCTGTTTTTTAAAAATAAATTTATGTATTTATTTATGTAATTATTTATTTATT